AAACTTAAATATTTTTTATAAAAGATTAAATTTAATAATTTAATAATATTATTATTACTTTAAAATTAAAAAAATATTAAATAATTATTATAAACTTAAATAAAGTATTTATTAAATTTATTATTATTATTATATTATATTAATTAGATTAGTCTATTTATTTAGTACTTTTATAAGATTAATAATAATAAAAAACTAAAGTCTTTAAAGAAAAACCTTTATTTTTACTATAAGTAGTTAGTTTTATATTAGTTCTTAATAGAGTCTAGTATAGGCCCCTCTTTTAATCCTTAGGTTTTTATTTTTAGTCTTATTCTTTCTATTACTTCTTCTTCCCCCTCTTTAATATCTTTTACTTTATTATTACTATCTTTTTTAATTATATAGACTATATTAAAGTTAAAGTATTTTTAGTCCTCTCTATTATAGAGTATAGATTCTTAATTAAAAGGGGGGGGGAGTATTATAAACACACTAAAGTACTATAGATAAAGGGTAAGGTAGTCTAAAGAAGTAACTATAGAGTACTTATAAAGGTATAAAAATAAAAGAACTAATTATATAACTAGATTACTAGGGATTATAGTAATCTAGTACTAATCTAGGATTATTAGGATTATAAAGTAAACTAAGTAATCTAAGTAGTATAGTAAAAAAATAGAATAAATATATAAAAAAAAAGGATTCTAATAGATAATTAGATTAAATTTTTACTAATTAATCTAAATAATAGTTCTACTATTAAGAGTAATCTCTTAATATAACTTATACTATAATACTACTTATTTATACTCTATTATATATTTAATTAACTTACTTCCTAAAAAAATAAATCTACTATAGATTAAAGAAGAGTTATTATTATATTTTAATTATATACTTTTATAATAAGAATCTAGCTTATAACCACACTAAGCCTAACCTAGTAATAAAATTAGAAAAGAACTTAAGAAAGGTAAATTAACGCCTCTAACCACCCCTATATAATACTAGCTTAGGGCTGCATTAATAGGGGCGGCCGTGGCGGCTAAAATAATACTAGGGACGCGTTAAGACGCGCCTCCCTAACTAAGACAAGCCATAATGAGCCTAATATAGGAACAACCTAACTAAGATAGTTAACTAAACGAGAACTTATAAACAAGCTCCTCTTCTTAATCCCTAGGCAATAGTATGACCGTGCGGAAATCCTTCGCCCGTCCGGCCAATCGCGCGACGACGCGCGACCTGGGTGAGCTCCGCCCTGGTGTGTCGCGCGACCCGCTTCAGCTGAACGAGCCAGGCATCCTTGCAGAAAACTGTTTACTGTTGTTCAATTCTTGCCTACAGCACTCAGCTCATGGAGGCCTTTCCAGGTCATGACGAAGATAGAATGTATGGAGCTGACAGTGTTGTTATGCTATAGTGACTCTTCTGCTGGGTAACATAATATTCCGCCCACCTAATGCATCTGACCACCGATTTTCCTTGGCTCTATTAGCGGCTTGTGAATCATAGCGATACCACAACGGCCTTGTTCACTTGCTAAATAATAGCTGTGCATACCTCGTAGCTATCTATTTGTGGTCGATCACCGCAATTGTCACCACATCTATCGTATGGGCACTATTTACCTTGACCATGACTGATTATACTTTGTACGAGTAAGTGCTGCTCGTAAAGTTGAGATAAGGAGAATTTGTTGCTTTGCGCACCTACCCTGTAATCCTAGACACGCGATGGGCAATAGGAGTAGAAAAAAATTTAATACTTTGAAGGCATATATAGTTTAATTATACTGCGAAATAAATGTTTGGACTATGTCATGACTCCAGGCATCCGTGCAGGAAACCGTTTATCAAAGTACGCTTTACAATCCTGCCTCATGAATTTTGCAATGCCGTGACATGTTCAGCCCTAGCTGTAGGATCAAGAATTTCCGTGAACCATGATTGCTGTGAAAATGAATCGATTCGGCCAGTAACAATGCAGACAAGAAGAAAATCGACGGCACCTGGAACAGCGAGGAGAGACCTTATCTAACCAGTGTCTCGTTGATATCGCGGTGCATTGAGCCTGTTGACAACACTCGTGTTCCCCAGGTCGTTAGTAAGCTACGATGAGCGACGAGCTACGCTTATTGCTTATCCCAAACCCGCGGCTCTCAGTAAGAAATTCGGCAAGAAATTCGGCAAGAAAGTCGGCAGTGCAGAGAAGGAAAAATGATAGAACTTTTTAAATTCACTGACATTTATACCAAACAAATATAGAAGGGTTAAGCGCAACAGTGTACATTGCCATTGTCCTTACTGCTATGCAGGTCGGACTGGTGACCGAGTCCCTCGGCCCCATTTATGCGTTCTAATCTACATCATACAGTTTCACTCGTCTCTTCAGCTTGCCATGTGAGATCACAAGGTGCACGCTGGTAAGCTATTATAGCGTCTCGCTAGTGTAGCAGCATTATGCCGTCGCGCCATGTCTTGTGCAAATTACCCAACGATTGTATTCCCGTCCTTTTGCATCACTCCTTATTAAATCAACAATATGATTCATTTCTTAATTGACGGCATGCACACATGAGCTCTAGTACGGCCGGCTCAGTTTGTGCGAGCCTCGTGTCTTATCGATTGGGAGGTTGTCGTGGCAACGACTAGCAAGGCACTACGTCAGGCACTAATACTGTCACAGTGGCTCGCGCAAATACATCATCTACCTCCATCTTCATCTACAACTCAAGAGAAAAAGGAAATGGCGGCCCCATACCGTTTGCGGGAACAGTTGCCGCCTCCAAAGCACCCAGACGACGGCCTTCCGACGAGCGAAACCACCTCCCTGTCTGACCACCGAGTCTTCCTTCACCACCCAGGTTACCCGAAAAACTCGAGCACTCTGCTCATCCTCACTGCGCTCGACCCTCAGAAAACCGAAAACCCCTATCAAATACATTACGGCCTCCATCACGAGACGGCGCGCATAGCCTGCGCCATCGTCGCGAACTGCCGCTGGGATGGCTTTCTCTCCGAATCCAACGCCCCTGATGCGACGCCCCTCGCGCTGGCACCCGACGACCTCCTGCTCGGCCGCGATTACTACTTCCATGTCCCAGCTCGTGATGGCGACGCCAGTCCCTATCCGACGGTCCCCTCGTTCGAGCACTTTGCATTCCCGCACAATAACCTGCCTCCAACGTGGAATGCGCCCGAGCTCAAGCTCCAGTCTCGTCCACGCGACACCATCCACACCCGCGACAAGTCGTGCCGCATCACGGCGTCGGTCCTCGGCAACGAAGTCGCGCATCTCATCCCGCAAAAGGAAGACGCATGGTTTGCTGCGAATCAGATGACCATGTACGCTGTGCGCACGGAGGCCTCCCCGTCGAACGCGACCAACGATACCAGCAACGCCCTCCTTCTCCGCTCCGACCTTCACCAG